CTGACCCTCCTGGAACAGGGACCTCTGGCTGACTAGATTTACCAGAAGGGCAGACAGGGGGGAATGGATGAGGGTGCTGACAACACAGTGGACAGTGACAGGGATGGCAGAGTATGGAGCCTCTAGTGGGAGAGGAAGTCTGTCTATCTGACGAGTTTGTATTCATGCTCAGATGCCGAGGAGCTCAGAAGGTGGGCGACTACGACCAGCAATAGTCATTTATATAGAGATTAGAAATGCATGTGAAAACGTCTCAATGTCAATTGCTTTGGAATGAATTCTTCTGTATGAAAAAAAAAAAGTTGTGCTGTAAAGTATTCCTTGAGAAATGTTTATAATTCTATGAGAATGTAAATAGTTTCACAGTAATTGTTTTCCAGTTAGAATATTCTAACTTAATTGCAGCGCAGTCTCTTTAATTTCTTGTTCATTAATTTTTAACTAACTTCATAAAAGAATAAGAATAAAAAAAATGTGATTTATTTTAGAAAAAGTTACCTGGACTGCTGAAAAGAATGTATATTCCACAGCTGTTGGATGAAATATGCTATAAACATTTATTAAATCTACTTATTCTATGTTGTAATTTAAAAAAAAAAAGTTAAAACCTCATTCAATTTTATGTCTTATAAGGGTTATACTGAGTTCAATATTGTATAACTGTATTATTTAACTGTGAACCTCAAAATTTACAGCTAATTTTGAAAGAGAAGCATCTTTGCTCTGGAAATTGTTATTGAATATGTTAATGCTGTAATGAAATGCTTCTAATCATGTGGTTATTAAATAATTAAAAAAAAAAAAAAAGTACCAAAGCCTCAATTCAATGTAGAATACCACCTAGGAGTTTATTTTCCTAAAAGGATGTCTAGAACAACTGTAAAACCTGAATAAAGTCCAGAGATAGTAATGTATCTATAGGAGCATTGTATTAATGTTGGTTATCTACTTTGACAATTGCATTATGATTATGCAAAACAGAATTTCTGTTTTTAGGAAATATACACCAAATTTTTTCAAGTAACTTTCTCTTATCTCATTCTCAGGTGGTTTAGAAAAAAAAAAGTAGATATTTATACATGCAGAAGAGATACAAGAATTCTTCATATGACTCTTACAGCTTTTAAAGAAAAATAATGCCTAGCTAGTTTTAAAAAACCAGAGGGAATCATATTAGTCCAACAACCTAATGACAAATTACACAAAAAATATCTCTACATGAGTCCAAGTGTATAGCTAAAGGCTATATAACAAGAAACAGTGCCAGACAGGAGAAACCTTCCATGAGTTGTTGACCAGGGTGGTCCAAGAAACCACCCCCCACCGCCCCAAATTACACAGACTACTGCCACAGCCCTTGATTTCCTCACCTTCTTGCAACTGAAGACCAGGAACACAAAAGGTCACAAATGGCTGAAGCATAGAGATTAAGAGTCTATAAAATGTTGATTCTTAGACAGGACTCCTTTATTAAACTTCACCCACCCATGGCTCAGGGACCATTGCAGAAGAGGGTGTGGAAAGATTGTAAGAGACAGGGAGGAGGTGCATGACCACACAGAACTAGAGTCCTACAAGCTCCTGGGACCCTGCTCATAGGAGACTACAGTAACAGTGTCAGCAGACACACGTCCCACACAAACTCAAGCAGACAAAAACGCAGCATAAAAGTGGGGAAATGAATAGCAGACCCCAATCTTAGCTGAGGAAATACTGGCAACTGATAACTGCTAGGTGAGGAAGAGCTGATCTTCTTAATGCAAGGGACTCTAAATAAGCTGACTAGACCTCAGTAGATGAAATTACACTGAAGGACATCTGGGGATACTAACTGTTCTAACTTGTTTCTCCATTGCTGTGACAAAATACTCTGACCAATACCAACTTGGGGAGGAAAGGGTTTATTTGGCTTATATCTCCCAGGTCACAGTTCATCAGGGAGCCCAAGGTAGGAACTCAGGGCAGGAACCTGGAAGCAGAAGCTGGAGCACAGGCCATAAAGGAATACTGCTTACTGGCTTGCTCCAGCTCCTGCTTCCAGGTTCCTGCCCTGAGCTCCTACCTTGGGCTCCCTGATGAACTGTGACCTGGGAGATATAAGCCAAATAAACCCTTTCCTCCCCATGTTGGTAGTGGTCAGAGTGTTTTGTCACAGCAATGGAGAAAAAAACTAGGATACTAACTTGACACGATAGGCCTTAACACAAATGACAAAATGTATGAATTCCAGTAGGGGCATATGGGAGAGTGCCAATAGGGATGGGGGTATAAAGATGATTAAAATGGATTGAGATGGTCTATATGAAATACACAAAAATTCAGGAAAAAAAGAAAAATATTATTGGCACAACTTAAAACAAAAATCATAATCTAGGAAACTGAAGAGAGGAAATATAACAGAATCCATCATTAGAACTAGAAGGAAATGTGTCTTTAAGGTTTAAAGATATTATAAAGAGGCCAAGGGAAAACATCAATGGATGATCCAACACCAGCTTCAAGACCAAATAACCACATCAATGGCCAGCACAGCATACATCATTGGTGCAATAGTGGCACTTTTATCTTGGGGGCAATCAACAGCTACCTAATTGGACTAAAAGCCCACTCGATGGGAGGAAACTCAAGTGTGGTACTATAAACATAACCCAATACATATGGCCAGAATGGTCATAAATCTTAGAGAAAACCCCAAGACTGTCACATTGTTAGACTAATGTAATTTCTTACTATGTGCAAAATATGTATCCTTATATTTACAGACAAATACCCCAGTCACCACTCATCAAAGAAGCCCATTTTGTACCAATCAAGAGACTATTACCAAGTACCACAACTGGTCACACACAGACATTGTCTATGAGTTGCCCAGGCCTAAGTGACAGATCTACAATGCAACCTCTACACCTAAGGCTCATGGAACATAGAACAGGCGTAAAGAAAAGGACACTAATGAATCTCTCATTTCTCAATAATGAAGCTCCCTCAGGCAGCGGAGGGCCAGGAACACCAAAGGTAACAAATGGCCAAAGCATAGAGATTAAGAGTCTACAGAATATTGATTCTTGGTCAGGACTCCTTTATTAAACTTCACCCACCCCAAGGCTCAGGGACCATTGCAGAAGAGGAGGTGGAAAGATTATAAGAGCCAGGGAGGAGGTGCATGACCATATGGAAACAGAGTCCTACAAGCTCCTGGGAACTTGCTCATATGATTCTATGGCAATGGTATCAACATACATAAGTCCCATGCAAACTCAGGCAGACAATAACCCAGGATAGAACTGGGAAAATGAACAGAAGGCCCCAATCTTATGTGAAGAAATATTGGTAACTGATTGCTGCTAGGTAAAGAAAAGCTGATCTTCCTAAAGGGACTCTAGATAAGGCTGATTAGACTCGGTGAAGAGACTTGCACTGGGGAATGGCAGGGGACACTGACAATGTAGTGGGGCTTAACAGGGATGACAGAGTATATGGGCTCCAGTGGCGGGGAGCTATGGGAGGGTGCCAGTGGGTATGGGGGTATAAAGATGATTAAGAGTCTTTGAGATATTCTGTACAAAATACACAAAAAAATTCAAAAAAAAACAAATTTTTAAAAAAATTTTAAAAAGCAGCAAAAAAAATATTAATAGCTATCTTACTAACTGAACTTATCCTAACAAGTGACATAAAAACATGTCAAAGATAAAATATACACACATATAATGATGAACGAGATGAATTCATCCACAGCACATTAAGGGAAACAAAGTAATTTGGCACATTTCTGAACTTCAGAATTTGATATCAAAGACATCAAAAATATTGTCCCTTGGTATTACAAAAACAACCTTGATGTGTGATTCAGGTCTTAGTGATTAATTAATGTGTGACTGTGGCACTCTTACACACACATATAGCCCCAGTTCAAGAGAACTGTCTAATTAAGGAAATTATATTTTTTAAATGTTATTTTTATTTTATGTCTATGCGTGTTTTGCCTACATGCATGTAAGCGCACTATGTGCGTACAATGCCCATAGAGGTCAAAGGAGGACAGTGAATACCCTGAAATTGGGAGTTAGTTAAGGACTGGTGTTAGCCACCATGTGGGTGTTGGGAATAGAACCTGGATCCTCTGCAAAAGCAGTTAAGTGCTCTTAATCACTGAGCCATCTCTCCAGTCCCAAAGAAACTAAATTTTTAAAGTATTTTAGTATTTTCAGTCAAGCTCTATCATAATGTTTACAGTATATTAAACCAGAATGTACACAGGACTGTCATTTTTAGAAAGCAAGTCTGACAGATAAGTCATTACCACTTACCTGTTACTTCTTTTCACTGATTTGTTCTGCCACGGTGGATCAATCACAATTACATCAAATGTTTTACTGCCTGAAATCAAAACACAATTTCAGAAAGCACTCTCTGTTCATGATCACTTTAAAAGCTAAACATAAGGACTAGGACTAAGCAGAAAGCTCAGTAACAGAGCTCATAGTCTAGAGAACAGAGCTCTGAGCTGAATCCTGCACACTCCCCCCAAACTAAACATGTTCTTCAAAAGTAAAGTACCTTCACACATCATTTTCTTTCTGTCTCTCTCCCTCTCTTTCTCTCTCTCATACACACTAATTTTTTTTTTTTTTTTTTTTTTTTTTTTTTTTTATTACCCCCTAATTTTTTTTTTTTTTTTTTTTTTTTGTCTTTTTGAGACAGGGTCTCCCGGTAGCCCCAGCTGTCCTGGAACTCACTATGTAGACCAGGCCTGCCTCTGCCTCCCAAGTGCTGGGACTAAAGGCATGCACCACCACGCCCAGCTTTCTTTTTTTAATTTTCAAAGAACGTAAAGAGACCAGGTGTGGTGGCGCACACCTTTAATCCCAGCATTCGGGAGGCAAAGGCAGGTGGATCTCTGTTGAGTTCGAGGCCAGCCTGGTCTACATAGTGAGTTCCAGGCCAGGGAAGACCCTGTCTCAAAAACAAACAAACAAAAGTATATTTTTATAAGTTTTGTGTTTATAGTTCGTGTTCTTAAAACAGTGATGCTAAAAACTTAAAATGTAACATAAAAAGGCTAGAATGTAAGTTTTCTTTAAGGCTAGGAATGATTTGGGGATTAATATTTATACCTAAAATGTTTTTGTTATAAGTAAAAGCTAACTAATATCTTGGTTAACCACAACTGTATTTTGAATTCCTCAGCAGAGAACTACAGGATTGGCTCTCTTAGGGACCAGTTTTTGGCCCTTTATTCATCATAAACATTTAAATTTTTTTATGTGTATGCACGTATTGCCTACATGTATGTAAGTGCACCCATGTCATATAATGCTCATGGGCAGAAGAGGGTATCAGATTCCCCTGGAAATGGAATTAGAGATGGCGGTTAGCTGCCATATGGGTGCTAGAATTCGAACCCCGGTCTTTTGCAAAAATAGCCAGTGCTCTTAACCACTGAGCCATCTCTCTAGCCCCACATTTAACTTTTTTAAAAAAGACAGGAGATAGGTGTGGTGATGCACACCTGTAATCCCAGCACTTAGGAAGCTAAGGACAGAAGAATCAAGAAATCAAATCCTTCCTAGGTTTCATAGTTCAATGCCAGCCTGGACTACATAGCAGAACTCTGTCTCAAAAATAAAAAACAAAGCAAAGGTCAGCACTTTAAAACTGAACTTTAAAAAACTTAGTCCCCCCCCCCAAAAAAAAGTTCATATTACCATAAGTATTGGTTCCCATTCAAACTTCAGACTCTACTTCTGAGATCATAGAAAAACTATCTTTTTCTAAAACAAACATACTAATTACTTACACTTCAGAAGAGGTTGCATGCAAGAAATATCAGACAAAAGAAAACTGCTTTTTGGTGGCAGCAAGTATTTCTCTCCCATTAAAGTAATTGTTTTTGAAAAGCTAGAGCTGTTTTCAACAACCCGTGAAAATAAATCCTGCTCTGTAATAGACATATCATCTTCCATCAGCTGTAACATCTGAGGTTCTGTTTCATTCAGAGAAGGCAAATGCTTTGCCATTTCACATAATCCTGACAAACTGCAGGCATCAAGTGGTAAAGTAATGCGTTCACTACATTTGTCCTGTTTCTCAACAAGTGGATAAAGGAAACCACTTCTGAGGCCTTCTTGGATTAACTGCAAAGCTCCATCCAAAATCAGCTCTCTGATCTGAAAAAAAAAAAAAATTCTTTAAAGTACATTAAAAAGACATTAGTGGGCTGAAGAGATGGCTCAGCAGTTAAGAGTACTGATTGTTCTTGCAGAAGGCCCAGGTTCAATTCCCAGCACCCACATGGCAGCTAACAATCATCTGTAACTCCAGTTCCAGGGGATCTGACACCCTCTTCTGATCTCCACCAGCATTGCACAACAGGGGTACATTTACAGACATGGAGGCAATATGCTCATAAAAATAAATATTTTTTTAAAGATAGTATTAAAATTTTTTTCCAAATAATGAAATCTCTACTGTGCTCTCTTTATATATTAAAATCAATTGTTTATTATACTTAATTTTATATTATAATGAGAATATAAGAATGCCAGGAGTATACTTGGGCTGTTGTTTTCTAATTATAGAGTGAAACAAACCTCACAAACTTACTGGCAATTAAATAACCCAACAATATATCTAAGAAAAATGCTGACACTTTGAGCCATTTTTTTTTCCTGCCTTGAGTCGTTTCTGTCAGGTATTCTGATTCAATGATGAGAAAAATATCACATATGGCATACACAGCAGAGCTACTGCATGCAGGACTCAACTGCCTCAGGGCATCCTTGAGGTACACAGGGTACCATGGGCACCTACGAACATAATGTACATGCTTCTTGCTGTGCCAGTAACAACAGTCTTTCGTCCCTGACCAAGACACTTTGTGCGTTCTGCCAGCATCCATGAGTCTACAGCAGACGAACTTGGTAGCTTCTAAATAGGGAAAAATCTCAGACTCTTCACAGTTCTTCACAGGAGTGCTGGGTAGACAGATCTTCTTTCAGTATAGGGGAAATATTAACCATAAACATTAATTTAAGCCCATCTAAAAAAAATCTACCCCAGCAATGGATAGATCAATTAACACAAACATTTCTACAGACACTGACGTTGTGAACACTACCAAGTGACTTGATCTAACTGGCATTCGTGGAACATTACATCCAATAATTATAGAGTATTTTTTTCAACCACACATGATATAGTCACAAAAATAATTCATATGCTGGTGATTGAAACAAGGCTCAATAAGTTTTAAAAAATTAGCATCTATCCTTATGCCCCAGTGATTTAAATTAGAAATCCAGAACAAGAAGATACTAGCATAACCCAAAACGCAAATGAAATGACACATTCTAAACAGTTCACAGGTCACAAGAGAAACTGACTTTTTTCTTTTCAGAGATCATAGTCCTGGGTTTTTGCACATTGCTTTTCAAATATTTTATTTTTATTTAATTATGAACATATATGTACGTGGGTTTGTACATGTAAGCGCAATGCTGGAATTACCAGATGCTGTGAGCTGCCCAACATGGGTGCTGGGAATCGAATTCAGGTCCTCTGGAAGAGTCATATAGACTCTTAACCACTGAGAAAAATCTTCAGCTCCTTTTGCACATTTTTTTTCAATTTGTCTCTCTTTTTTTTTTTTTTTTTTTTTTTTTTTTTTTTTTTTTTTTTGGTCTTTTTTGAGACAGCTGTAGCCCCAGCTGGCCTGGAACTGGCTATGTAGATGAGGATGGCCTTGAACTCTCAGAGATCTGCCTGCTTCTACCTCACAAGTACTGGGACTAAAGGCATGTGCCACCACGCCTAGCTCAATTTATCTCTCAAAGGGAGCTTCCAGGTAATAGTTGATTTCCAAAATTAATAGACACAATATACTTTTTGTATTAAAGATTCAACATTTATGTATTTGGCTATCTAGAGAACCTTTAAAATATATCTTTATATTAAGAATACTGAAAAAATATTCTAGAGAGGGACAGGAGTAATGCTGGCACAACACCGGGGATGTGCTTAATGCCAGAGACTGACCTTTTTATGTCATATGCATTTTTATCACAGTAAAAAATTTAAAAAGAGAGAGAAATGGATAGCCCGACTATTCAGAAGAGTGAAGCAGGATGACACGGGAACCCAAAAGCTTGAGGGCAGCAAGGACAACACAGATGCCATCACCAACGGGGATAGGGGAAGGGAAGGCCATACTGTCCTACCATCCCATAAATTCACCATGTCAATATGGAAGGTGTCGGGGCTGGAGAGACAACTCAGCAATTAAGAGGTCTTGCTGCTCTTGTAGAGGACCCGGCTTCAGTTCCCAGCATGCACATGGCAGCTCACAGCCATCTGTAGCTCCAGTTCCAGGAAACTGGACTCTCTGGCCTTTGTGTGCACCAACCACGCATGTGGTATTATGTACATATATGCAGGCAAAGCACTCATACACATAAAAAAATCTTTTTTAACAACTGGAAGCTTTCATCACTCTGAAGCTAAATTCCTATGCTTTAGTTTTCCCATTTCAAAGGTGCTCCACAGCTAAGGCTAAAAGTGTAGTGTACACAATCTGTTTATGCACATTTTGTTCCTAGATCTCTGAATCTCTAACTTCTAGAACTAAACCCTTCACATTACTCATGCTTTCTTCTGCCATAACCTTCATATATCATTTTACCTATGGATGGTAAGGTTTTCTAGCTTTGTTTTTCAGTGCTGGGAATCAAACCCAGGCTCTCATGCACAAACAAGTGCTCTGCCACTGAGCTGCACTTAACTCAGTTTTGGACCTTTCCAAAATCTCTACAGGAAATCAATGTAGCATGATTTACTTACATCGAATATTTAAATGCAAGCATATACAGTTTCAATAAAAACTGGGTTAGCTGGGTGTGGTGGCGCACACATTTGATCCTAGCATTCAGAGGCAGAGGCAGGAGGATCTCTGTGAGATCAAGGTCTACATAGAGTTCCAGGCCAGCTGGGGCTAAAGGGAGACCCTGTCTCAAAAAGACAAAAAAAACAAAAACAAAAAACTGATTTAGACTATTCATTACTATAAAGCTAACAATAAGCCATTATGAAATTCTAATTCTGACCAAAAAAAATGGTTTTTTTGCTGGGGTGGGGGTGAAGGGGCTGAGGGTCTCACTATCCAGCCCTGACTAGCCTGGAATGTAGACCAGCCTGGCCTCTAACTCACAGAGATGTGCCTGCATCTGCTTCTTAAGTGCTGGGACTAAAGGCATGCACCACCACATCCAACATGATTGCTTTATTTTTAAGAATATCCTTATTTATTTTGTCCATTTTTTACCACTTCACATTAATCTTTCCTTATGAGCAATAAAGAAAGATCTTACACTTACCTTTGTATGATATTCCATGGCATCCAATTCACCTTGGTTGAAAGCAATACATCTTTTACGCTTCTAAAGAGAAGGTAAGTTACAGGGAAAAAAAGTTATGTTACTGTCTTCACAACATTGACATTTCTGTTTTGTTTATTTTTTTTTAAATATTATGTACTATAGCCAGGCGTGGTGGTACATGCCTTTAATCTCAGCACTCAGGAGGCAGAGGCAGGCGGATCTCTGTGAGTTAGAGGACAGCCTGGTCTACATAGTGAGTTTCAGGACAGCTGGGGCTACAGGGAGACCCTGTCTCAAAAAGACAAAAAA